CCCCCCCTCCTCCCAGAGCCCTCCCTGTGTGGGGGCGGGGGGGCGCAGCCGCCCCTCCCCAGCTTCAGCACGCGGATGCGGCCCTGGAAAAAAAATTTCCGTTGGCAGAAAAAAAAATTGAAACTTACACTTTTGTACGTCCCACCGGCGTGACGCTGCGCGCTGACGTCATGAGGTGTAACGTGCCTCGCATAGGGCCCACGCGGAGAGATTAGTGGCCCCTCCACACCGTCCCTCCGTGTGGCGCGCATGCGCGGGGATTTCGCGCCCAGGGATTCCCCACCCCTTTTGGAAAAAGAGCGCGCGGGAAGCCTGGGCGCGAGACTTGGCGGTTAGTCAGTCAGAACCAGGCAGCCGTTGCGCTCTGGCACGTGGTGTCACTCGAGGGGGTGGCCTGCGTCAGCGCTGAGCTACTTACCACCCACCTGTCGATGTCAAGCGAGGGGAGAAGGGTACCGTGCCCCGCCTCTGCTGACTAAAGCTGGGCGCTAGCCCATGTCCCCTCCAGCTCTGGCGGGGAGAAGGACTTTGCCTAGGTCCTGGGGCTTCAGGTGGCTTAGCAGGACCTAGCCCTGATTGACCTCGCAGAACATTTTCCTTCTCGCGCCATAATGATTGCAGGGCACAGCACGCTGTCAAAACAAATCCTCAGGGTGTTGGTTTCAGCTGTGGGCTCTGCACCCAGCAACAGCATTTTAGAAACTAGCCCTAACCAACCCCTGAGTAATGCTGATGGTGCGTCCTCATCACTGCCTCGCCATTATCAGGGCTGCAGCACTTACAATGCCCCATTTTAAACATGCCATTTTAAAATAGTTTAATTAGAGGGCAAACTGGCTCCTCTGCAAGTTCTGCTGCTTGCTGCAGAAAAGAGTGAGAAACTGTAATACTCATGACAGCTAAGGCATAATTGTACTTCACAGTATTTTTTGTAGCATAGAGATAGTTTGTGGTCTTTTAAGATTTTCCTTTTTCATCCCCACTATGCTAGATTTTTAAAATTTAGATGTACTGTGATTGCATCAAGGTCAGGATACACTAAACTGACCTTTGTACTAAATGGAACATTTTTTAAATCCAGAAGAATGAAACAGTAACTGTAGAAAAGTGAGCTTTTACTCAAAACCACTTTCAGAGATGGAAAACTGTTAGGTGAAGACTTTTCTTTGAAAAGTGTTTTCAGATATTTGTGAAAAAGGGAGGCAGCTATTATTGAAGCAGCACGTGATATCTTAAATGGAAAGAGAAAAATATGATACTGATTTTTTTAACTGATTTGCCCCTTACAAAGGAAGAATAGGTAAGGGAAAATGTTTGGAGCCTGGGAAAAGTGACCTAGCTCCAGGGGATTTTAGACCATTCAGTGCAGAAATTGTGGATGGAGCATGAAACAGGTCCTCAAACAGTTCTGGCATGCCATTCTCCTTTTCTCCAAATGTTTGAGTCTGTTCCAGAGATGAAAGTAAGTCGATACACCTTGGGCAACAGCTGGCTGAGCTGTAGCAAAAGCCAGCAGAGAACTGGGTTGCAATAGGATGGTACCTGTACAAAATTTTAAGTTACTTTCACTCTTCTTTTTTTTTCTAATCACAGTCAGCAAAGGATCACCATTTGGAGAATATAATCCTTCATTGCTTTTTTACCAACGCTTATTAATAATACCTTCCAAAGAGTCCAGTCCAGTTGCATAAAGTACTTGTGAGATAATTGGGTTAAGGATTCAAGTGTATTCTGAGGAGATTTGGTACTTGTTTGTCCATTGTGCTTTATGCCTGCTATAGTGTGTAGGTGATTTCCCCCCTGCATTTTCCAGCTCCTATGTTGGCATGTCAATGACTGCTTTTCTCTATTCAGCATTTCTTTGGCATGTCTGCACCTTATAGAGTTTTTCTTTATGAAACTGAAACCTTACAGGCCATCAGCCAGCTGTCCAGTGGCAAGGCCCCAGGATCTGATGCGATCCCAGCGGAAGTCTATAAGGGTGGTGGTGCAGTGCTTGTCGACAAACTCACTCAGCTGTTCCAGTCCTTCTGGAATCAAGGATCTATTCCTCAGGAACTGAAAGACGCGTCCATCGTACACCTCTACAAGAGGAAAGGAAATCGACAAGTTTGCGATAATCATAGAGGAATATCACTGCTTTCCATCGCAGGTAAGATCCTTGCACGAGTGTTGCTGAATCGTCTGATTAACCACCTGGAACAGGGTTTATTACCCGAGACACAGTGCGGCTTCCGCAAAGAGCGTGGCTGTGGCACCTTATAGACTAACAGATGTATTGGAGCATAAGCTTTTGTGGGCAAAGACAGACTTCATCAGATGAAGTGGGTCTTTGCCCATGAAAGCTTATGCTCCAATACATCTGTTAGTCTATAAGGTGCCACAGGACTCCTTGTCGCTTTTGCATATTTCACGAAGGTAGCTTGCCTAGGTGGCAAGACAAAGGGGCCTGTATGTGACACCACGTTAAGTCAGTTATAATGCCTGAGAAGTTGATAACTTGTTGGGTGAAATCTTAGGATAGAATTTGCCACCAATGGGGTTTATGCCTCATTCTTAAGAGTCTGTCCTGAGTTTGGTACACATACTATTGAATGCATTCAGGACGACTTGGCAGCTTGAATTTTTGTTCTGAATCTCAAACTACCAAGGATGGTTGATGTTATAAGTCACACAGCTTTATCTCTTCAGAGAGCTAGTATTAAGTGAGGCTTTGTGTTGATGAGAACACAAAGAAAACCGAAGTGATGCACCAGCCAGCTCCAAAAGCTCAGCATCAAGTGCCCACCATCACAGTGAAGGGACAAAAGCTGCAAGCAGTGGACCAATTTACATATCTTGGCAGCACCCTCTCCCGCTCAGTGACAATTGACATCGAGGTCAACTGCAGAGTCGCCAAGGCAAGCTCTGCGTTCGGCAGACTGTTGACCAAAGTGTGGGACCGCCGTGGAATAAGTCTTGCTACAAAGCTTAAAGTCTATCGAGCAGTAGTGTTAACTACCCTGATGTACGCCAGTGAGACTTGGACTGTATACAGGAGGCACGCTAGGCAACTGAACCACTTCCACACGATTTGCCTCCGCAGACTTCTGAGGATCCGGTGGCAGGATAAGGTGCCAGACACAGAAGTCCTTTCTAGAGCAGGTCTGCCGTCAGTTTACACCCTGCTGATGAAAGCTCAGACACGCTGGGCAGGCCATGTTGCAAGGATGCCAGATCATCGCATCCCTAAACAGCTCTTCTATGGTGAGCTGTTTCAAGGGAAGCGATCGCACGGGGGACAAAAGAAGCGATACAAAGATACGCTTAAAGCCTCTCTCAAGTCCCTGGATATTGACACCACCTGCTGGGAGACCCTGGCACAAGACCGATCAACATGGCACACGCTGATCTACCAAGGCTGTCAAACATCTGAAGCCAGAAGGAGAACCATAGCACAAGAGAAGCGAGCACTCCGTAAAGCCAGAGTTGCAAAAGCTGCAACAGTGGTGCCCACACATGTCTGCCCGACATGTGGCAGAACATTCCGTGCCCGTATCGGCCTTATCAGCCATTTGCGGACACACCATGGACAGTCCGCAACCTGTTAGATGTCAAGGTCCTCTTCGAATACGATGGACGAACAACAACAACAACAGTGTGTAGGTAATTTTCCCCCTGCATTTTCCAGCTCCGGTGTTGGCATGTCAATGACTGCTTTGGCATGTCTGCACCTCACAGAGCTTTTCTTTATTGGGATACACTCTATTTCCTTCAGAGCAGTGGTCACCAACCAG